AAATTTATGTGGGTAACTCAATAGTTATTGCTTTAACAAAAGATGCAGTATTTCATGATAAAAGTAAATATTTGACACATGATTTTATTACTTATGAGACTATATTAAAATATAAAAAATTAAAATTAAGTATGTAAAGTTTTAAAACCAAGTTGTGAATATTTTGACGAAATCACTTAAATATAATGTTTTTGTTAAGATAAGAGATATGTCAGGAGTTGTGAAGAAATCAAGTTTAAAAAAAAATGTTAAAAATAAACTATATTTTATTTTTTCTAAAAAATACAAAAAAAACTAGTCTATTAATTAAATTAAATGAATCAGTTAACCGGTGCATAATAATCGGTTGTGTAATGAGCAGCAGAAGATTATCTAATTACACGTTCTATCTCCCGGTTGACCTTCCAACTATGTATACTGATATGACCATTCATTTGTTTCTTCTCCTTTTCTGGCACACTCATAAAGAAAGGAAGCACAACATACTACCTCAGATAACTTGTATGCATTGCTTGACAAATGATCTGTTCAGGAAGCTAAAGTGGATGCATTTTTCAATGAATTGCTTTGAAGTCCGTCTACCATGTTAAAGGAAATTGAAAACATAATATTTAACGAAGATTAAGTATGTTAATTTATGATCAAAACTGAAAACACTATCATATATTAATAATAATAATCATATGGAGACGCAGCCAAAGAAACATATAGCTTAAGGTAAATCTCAATCTCTCTCTGTCTCTATATATGTATATGTTTTAAAATATCCAAAGTATTGGTTCGAAGATTTGAATATAAGAGTAAAAAAAGGGAACAAATCTGCTTAGCCATAGGATGAAACTGGTGGAAAAGGATTCTTTGACCCAACCGATAGCTTAATTTTATTCCCTCAAATACAAATGAGGCCTTCCTAGTCTTACAAAATCAAAAATCGGGCCGATAGACTCCAAGAGTCTTCTTCAATTGATCTTTCCTATGAGGTATAATTTTACCTTAGCTTGCAAGGAAAGTAATTGATGCTCTTGTCTGAGTGAATATTTATGGGTGCTGATGAGACTGAAATTACGAAATCTGAAAATGACGTGAATCTTTACAAGAGAAATATTTCAAGGAATGAATATCTAGAACGAGGTGTGTGAATGTTATTGTTATTTATTTTTGGACAACAAAAAAGAATACAAAAAATTAAAAAAAAATATTAATAAAGAGAACATGAAAAACACACAGATATTGTTAAAGACTAGTTGAGGATCAAATTGATAATTTAATTTTGACTGGTAAAAATTCTATTAACTAGGATAATTAAATTTCAGATGAAAACTAATTAAAGTCAGGCAACAAAGTCCTCAAGGTTTAACTTGTGAATAGAGAAATTAATTTATTCTATGTATCCGCCTTTAATGTGGACGTTATATCTTTCATAAAGTTGTGTATAGCTTGTGATGAGAGTAAATTATTTATTCTATTCCTTTTGTGCAGTATAAAAACGTTTAACATTTTTGCTTTGTGAGAGGAATTTCGTTTTCAAGTTCATAGTGTTGCACAGTCTCCATAAATAAATCACTATCTCTATATATTATCAAAAAATAAAAAAAGATCACTACCTCAATAAATAAAACACAAATTTGTCGCACAAGGATTGGGACCGCAACTTCAGCTGGTTACACAGCAGCGTGGTCGGCAGAGATTTACTTCTACAAACTTTGGGGCTAGCTGCAAGTTCTGAGTGAATGTATGTATACATATATGCTTTTGTTTTATGCATTAATTCTTTTATATTAATCTTATTTTTGAGGTGGATATAAAGGTGACGCTATTTCATTAAGTTTTGCTGTAGAAAGGCTGGGTTAAAAATGAATTTTTTTTTATACATAAAAAATTAATGAATCAATTTGTACCTCAATTTGAGCACGTCGTGAACACCATCAAGATATATTGTTCCTTCATATCGTGATATGTTAGTATTTCTTAACAGTATTAACCTCAGCCAAATCCCCTACTAGTAATTTTGATGTTGCATGAGCATTAACTTGGCTCGCCTGTAAATCGTAATTAATCAAGTCAGCTACTTAATCAGAAAGTGTTGCGGAGGAAGAGTTGGTGATTTTGAATTAGTGAATAATAGATTTCAATCCAGGCCAAGTTATTTTATTTTATTTTATTCTGTGTTGTATGGATCTCTTTGCTTTGCTGGTTTTTCATGTGCTAGATGGTTAGCCTAATAAAATTATCTCGTTTTTATGATAATTAGTGGTTATATTAGTTGTAAGTTTCAATAATGAAAGTGACGATGCTAATGATATCATATATATTGATGTAGCAAAACTGGTGAGACGTTAATTAGTTCTAAATATTTTGGGAACATGATAGTACTGTGATACTATTTTCATAATATTAGGAGCTCATTGACTTTTTCATTGTAGTCCTTATATTTTAATTCTTAAACTAGAGAAAAACTAAAAGGTTAAAAATATATATAAAAAATTATAACGACAACTATCAAAGAACATGAACAAAAAAAAATAAAATTAATGCACCAAAATTAATAAAACAAACATACTTGCAAAATTAATTAAATATTAACTCATAAAAAAATATACATAAAAAATATTATAATAAAACTTAGATAGATAGAATATACATTGCTAGATTTAATAGTTTTATAAACAGAAAACTTTCTTTGATTTCTCCGTTTGTATTTGTTAATTTTTTATTAGTGATAAGAATAAATTCTTAAATGAAAAGGTTTGAATCTCAAGTTTTAGTTTTGTGTTTATTAATTTTACTTAAATCTAATAAAAAATCATCATATAATATTTTATTTAAAATGCATATTGAATTTATTTTTTTCCATGCATGTATTAAAAAAAAAAGTCTCCACTACGAGATCAGTCCTTTTAAAGTTTTTTTAAAACTATTTATGATAAGTAAAAGTATATTAGTTGAATAATGTGCCATTTACACTATTATTATTTTTCAAGTTGGTCCTTTCTTCATAAAATTATTAAATCATAATATATAATTTGTATTATTTATTTTAAAATAGGAGAGCAATCAAACGTTTAAATTGAATATTATTCAATTTTTTTTATGATAATAATGAAGTTTTATTGATAGGTTTAAACATGTATTATTTAATACATATTCAATCAAACATGTATTCAAACCACCAAGTCAATGGATGATATGTATTGAATATATGTTGTTATGATGACTAGTTAATTTCTTTGTCACATGCTTCACACATGTATTATTTAAGTATATATTTAATATTTTTTTTTAACTTACTATGAATGAATTCAATAATTAATAATTAAAAAAATACAAAGTCCATATATTTATTATAAAAATCTTAAAAAATGATTAACTTAATAGTTTTAGGTATTAAACGGATGAAATAGATATTACTTATATATAAACACAATGAGAATAAAGATGGTCCGATTGAAATTAGTTCGCTTCTTTACAAATTAGTTGATTTAAAGTAGATACCCACTACGTAGAGGCATTTAACTAGTTTTCAATAGTAATTTTGATTGCAAGGCAGAGACGTTTTGAATTCAGATGGCTAGGGTTCGCGTCCCTCTCCAAAACCACCCTAATGACCATTAAACAACAATGAAGAAAAGGTCATTTTGTATGCTGTTTTTAATTTTCTCTAGTTCATTTTGCTCAAATTGTTTGGAACTGTGCTGATTTAGGTGGATTTATTTTTGAAAAAATGTGTTTGCTAGGGACGTGTCGTCAAAGACGGGTTTAGTAAATTTGTCTCTAGATATTGAAGAACTATGGAATGAATGGCAGATTCGCTCATTAATGTTAATTGGTGTCCTTCTTCAAATCATCCTCACCGTTTTAGGAGAACGACGGAAGTATACTGTTGGGCTCGGGGATTTTCTTTGGTTAGCATACTTGGCCGCAGATTCGGTGGCAATCTTTTCATTGGGTATCCTTGCTCGCAGCGTAGCCAACTCCACAAATCCGAACTTGATTCCAGTGTTTTGGGCACCAATCCTTCTAGTTCACATTGGGGGCCCTGGAACTATCTCTGCTTATTCAATGCATGAAGTCGACAAATTATTGATAAATCACCTTCTTCAGCTAGTAATCCGAGTTGGAGTGGTTGGTTATGTCTTGTTCAGGTTGAGAGAAAATGCCTTCATGTTGGTAGCCATTCCCATCTTTATTTCAGGAATGATCAAGTATGGTGAAAGGATTTGGGTTTTCAAAAGAAGCAAGGAATCCAATAATTTGTCACAGCAACCTTCTGCAAAACGACCTTGCATCCCGATTAAAGATTTATTGATTAAAGATTTATTAATTTCCCACACCGAAAGTTCAAGTGAGTTAAGATATCTTCATGAAGCTCGTCTTTTGTTCAATACGTCTAAGATGCTGTTCCAAAATCTTGATCTCGTCAATCTCGATCAAGAAATCACCTATGATTTGTTTTCTGATAAGAAAGCCGAGGAAGCCTTCCATTTGACAGAAATTGAGCTGGGACTCAAGTATGATCGCCTTTATTCTAAGGTGGCAACGATTTCCTGGCATCGCTTCATTATCCGCTCAGTCACTTTCTTATCCTCTATTTTTGCTTTAGTTTCCTTCTCAATAATGATAAAGAGCAAGAGTGTCTATTCGAAAAACGATAGAATTATATCTTTCGTGTTGCTGAGTGGAGTTGTCTGCCTTGAAAGTTACTCTATCATTGGGCATCTCTTTTCCGACTGGCCTATGATTTGGCTTAGTAGGTGGGAAAAAACATTTCCTAATCTCTATAGAACCCGTTGTTTTTCTCTGTTACTATCTTTTTCTAGGAAGCGCAAAAGATGGTCAAGATTAATGGGACAACACAACCTAGTAAGTGGTCTATCAAAGAAACCAGTGAACAAGCTTCGTAAGAAGTACTTTCCGGGGAATTGGAACATTCATAGCAGGGTGGATGTGGAGAAGGATTTAAAAGAATTGATCTTCAAACAAGTCAAAGATACACGTTCAAGGTACGATCCCGATACCAGTGATTTCGCTGTCCTCCTTGACCTATTGGAAGAGAGAGGTCGCAATGCGCTTCAAAGAAAGGGTTGTTCCGATAAATTGGGATGGAGTGTCAACGGTGTAGAATTCAGTCATAGCCTCCTCACTTGGCACATTGCTACTCATGTTTGTTAC